CGAGGCCAGCACTCAAAGCCTCCCGCGAATTCGCGCTTGTGCCTGACCACTGGCCAAGTTGATCATGTAGAACTCCATAGACTCCATAGTAAATGTTCCTGCGTATTCGAGAGTGAGCCTAAGGCCAGGACTGGGGCGTACGTTACAATGCCTTCACAGTTCTCCAGTGGAAAATATGGTCCCGTCAAGCCTTAATGTCGGGTCCGCTTTCAACGATCTTGTGCTAGAGGACAGTCATAGTCATTTTCCGTGCGCCAAATTGTCTTCTCATCGAGTTAGAGCAGCTCCAGAAAGCCCTTTTTCAACGAAACAGCATAAGGAGAATGAAGACCAGAGGAGAGGAAGGGGAACCCGGCGAACTAAACTCAGAGCGCTTGCCTCGGTTGACCGGGCCGATTGCTTGACCCGACACCACCATCATCTCCGCCGAGTGCTCCAGACATTCCGCTCGACGACACAGCTATGTCTGAAACTTCTCTTCGACGCTCAAAGAGAGCAAGAAAGCAGACCAAGTACAACGAAGACTCTGAGGACGAGGACGAAACTCAAAGATCACGAAAGCTCACGACACCCACACCTGGAGAAAGACAGAAGACCATGCGGAGGAAACGAGGGCTCCTACAGCGCATAACAGAGTTTCCTCTTGACGTCGTATTCGATGTGAGTGCCCTTTCATGCATGAAGCTGGCCTGCCGTGGCTGACACGGTGTCGCACAACCTCCCAGATATTCAGTCATCTCACCCCACATGATCTCTTGAACTTATCGAGGACAAGCAAGCATCTCAGAAGCATTATCTTATCCCGCTCAACAACATCAGTCTGGAGATCTGCCAGGTCGAACGTAGACGGCCTACCAGAATGCCCAGAGGACATGTCTGAGCCTGCGTATGCTCATCTTTGTTTCGATATTCGATGCCATGTACGCTCTTTTTTCGATGATTGTTCGTACTTATCCTCACATTCAGAGGAACATTAGCACTGCGAAAGCAAACATCCCGCCGTCAATTTGATGTGGCATTGCCGTACCCGCTCGTGTCACGCCTGTTTGGATGGACCCTTGTGAGTCATTCACTCAACCCCTAACGCTTCAAGTTACCGACTGTGCTTCAGCTACAGCGAGGAACCACTGGACTACGACTATCCGCATAGTTCTACTGCTAATAGGTTCTACCCTACCAAAATGGACCTCGACCTCTGGGGGATCATCAAGCACCGGGGAGATACCATACGCAAGGAACAACAGAGTACGTACATTTGTACCTTACCTGGGCAGCATATCCATTCCCTCAAGGCTACACTTTTTATTGCTCGAAGACGCTCAGGAATGAGCTAGCTGAAGGATTAAAGGCCAATGCCAGTGATCCAAATTGGAAGAAACAAATGATCCAAAGGGGTGAAAGAATCTCCGAAGTATCGTGCATATCTATCATCCGATTCTGTCTCTGTCTCAACGGACCATACAGCATGTCGAAGAATTGGAGGCCTGGTCGTTGACTTTACGCGACGAACGTCAAGCGGATCTACGGAGGAGAAGGAAAGAACGAGAGAACGCGTAAGTCGAACCTCTTATTGCTCTTACCGCGTGCTGTAACTCATCCCTCCGTAGCATCCTACAACGTCTCGTGGATGCTGGGTGGGGCGAAGAAATGGATAAACAGAGACATATGAACGGTTTGCGCATCTTCCGAGAATTCAAGCTGGGTACGCAAGCGAAGAAGTTAACGGACAAGGGTGAGCCTTTTTGAACTCCTCGCACTCGTGGTGCCCCACTGGAGTCTGACGACAAACCGTGTACCTTTCATCAAGACTGGGACGAACTGGAGCCCAAACTCGAAGCTGCTCTCGAAAGAGCCAAGGAGAACCGACTTACGATGGAATTTCGGGAGAAGTGGTACCGACGATATGAAACCTTCAGGAAGTTAGTTCAGGCCGAACTCAACAAGCTCCCCTTCAACACCGTTGGCCCCAACGTCTTCGATCTAGTCAATGAGCCCGAGTTCCAGGCAAAGTTACTGTCCCCGATTGACCACGAACTTACCTCAGGATCTATGGCCGAGGTTTTCGACTCTCTCCCTCAGATCCGTGCCCGCTGGGTTGAAGACAAGGAGAAGGACCTCGTTAATTTGCTCAAAGAACGCGGCGTTCAAAATGCGACGCCCGACACGCTGCACTACGCGTCGACCATCTTCACCTGCAAATTCTGCAGCGTCTCCTGTGTATACCCGCGGCCTCTCATGCACCACTGTAGTAGACGGCTTGGTTTTGGCTTTGACCAGACAAGGCCCTCTGTGCAAGATTTCATGAGCACAATGCATGGGGGCCCTTGGAATGTCAAGATTTTCGACGTACGGAAGGAGGTGTGGATGGCGGCAAAGAAGATCATGAAGATATGTGACATCCCTGCAAACGCAACTCTCGACGATGTGAAGGACTCCAGGTGCTGGGTGCAAAAACGTTTTTACCATTGCGCCATGGGACGCCAATGGTTAGGTCCAGTCGCGAGGGCAGTAAGTAAGATCAACTCCTAACTGTATCCCGTCGCTCATGTTCGTTCCCACCAGATGTACGAGTTCGGTCACTCACTCGAAGACGAGCATGTTTGGACTCGCGCCGACGATGAAGAGTTGAACCAACTTGTAGCGTCGGAGGAGTCACGGCGATATTGTTGTACACTTCCCAGAGTGATGTGCAACCACTGTGAGACGTTTCATCATGGCCTTTCGATCTTTGAACATCTGAAAGAGAAGTAAGTCTCGTTGCGTCTTCTTCACACAAGTACTTCCTGACACATCTCCCCGCCTCATTAGCCACGACTTGACATCGACATCGGTGACCTCTAAAGATGTTACTCTGCCGATTGATACGGCTCCGTACAGTCTGCATCACGAACCTGTGCGGCCGCTGACCGAGGCGTGAGAGTTTGACTGCTACAGGCCGGAGGATTAGAGCATCTTGACTGCCGGTGCGCGTCACTTACTGGTTTTGTATTCTTCTATGTACTAAACACCTTTGTGTATCATGTTCCTGGATTGTAACGAGTTCGGTCTTCCTGTACTATGTATGTGTTTTGGTAGAAACGCACTCATCTAGTTCACTCTCGCCACAAACACACATCAACGTCGACTACCACCATGATTTGATTGGCGGCTCACCTGCGCCCGTCACGTCAGCTCACGCTCCGGTTGCCCTGGTTCATGACCTTCACTCCAACCTTCTTAACGGGCCGTCTACTTCCTACACAGACCGCATGGTCTCATCATGTGTGCACGGCTACAGTGTATAAGTTTGGACATGGAGGGTCAACGCATTCGCTCCCAATCATGATTCTCTCTACCATCTCAAAACCCCGTAGCAAAAATCCCGCTCTAGTTTTGGGAGTCTTCCTAGCAGTAGTGTTCAATCCCAGGGTGAACGCTCTATCTCCGGAGTTCCTGCCTTGTCAAATACAGAAACCGGCTGGGGAGTCTCCATTGAATGGATGCCCTCCTGGTACGGTGTTTGTCTCGCAGGATGGTCCGAATCCAAGCGTACAGGGGGCTATTGAAGCTTTGTGAGTCCCTCCGTACTTCACGCCGAGGTGAGGGGTTGACTTTGGAGCACACAGGCCAGAAGAGGGAGAAGCGATCATTCTGATTGCGGAGGGACAGTACCACGAAACTGTGAATGTTACAAGGAGAGCCCCGCTTACACTACTCGTTCGTCGCTCCTCCTCTTGCTCTTTCTCTCTATTTGATGACGACCCAAACTGTTCGCTCATAGGGTCAGCTTCCCTCTGAACTCGCAGGGGCGGTCAACGAACCCTTCTTCGATCAAACCAACACCTCAACCCTCAGGAAAAACCTCGTCCAGATCTTCGACACCCGCTTCGTTCGATCAGGAATAGACGACGACGCGGATTCATCGGTTCTGACTGTCGCACCCAACAGAGCGGGTGCCCTCATCGGTGCGGGGCCTACCGGGGCTCCTCTTCAGCCAGAATCTGGAAACGCCGATTTCAAGGCTTACAATATCGATTTCGAGAATCGTGCGGTCAGTACTTACCAGCCTCACGACAAATAATTGATGTAACTCTGTCACTTCAGGCCAACTTTTCAATATCGCAAGCTTTGGCTACGGACATATCTTACGCTAACGCTTCATTCTACGGCTGCTCGTTCGCGAGTTACCAAGATACGTGGTACACGGGACGTAATGGTAGCACGTACGTGGTCGATAGCGTGTTCTACGGACAGACAGATTGTGAGTTAGTACCTTCCCCTTCTAACACGAAAGACAAACGTATCCATCCCAGACCTCTTCGGATTCGGTACGGCATACTTTCAAAACATCATCCTCGCAAATAGAGCTTGTGGGGGAGGTATTGTAGCATGGAAGGGGACAAACGAGACAGATGCTCCGGGTAATAAGTACGGCGCATATATCAAGGATTCGAAGATTATACGAGTACGTGCCGTTCGTTTCTTTTCGTCTCGATCATTTGGAGCTCAATCGCCCTACCATTAGTCGCCGGACGCAAACGCTACGACAGATATCACGAAGAAGTGCTTTCTTGGTGGGCCTTGTCGTACAACTCTAGCCTCTACCGTCAGATTGATCGACCCTTTCTTTGCAGGTCGCCCATGGAACGATCTCGCCACGACCGTCTTCCTAAACACTTTCATGGAAGATGTTATCCAACCTACTGGATGGACGACGTTTTCTGGTCGACCGGAGATACTGAATACAACCTTTTACGCCGAGTTTAACTCTACAGGTGAGTGTTTGAGAGCGTTCTCTGCGCTTTCGTGGTTAAAGAAACTTAATAGGTCCTGGAGGCGACACTAGTCAAAGACTGCCCTTCGAGCACATCCTGACGACGGAAGAGGAAGCGGAGGAATTCACGGTGGAGAAAGTCTTTGGTGGCAGTTTACCAGGGTGGGTGGATTCTAGTTACAACTTCTGAGCCCTGGTGGTGTACGTAGCAAAAGGTTATAGAAACAGGAAACTGTTTTCAACGGAGCGACGCCAGCAGGATTTGAACCTGCGCCCTCAAAGAGGAACAGATTGTCTATCCAAGGTACGAAGTTTCCACGAATTCTAATCTGTCGCCGTAACCACTTGGCTATAGCGCCCTTATTCCGTCAGGGATTATGCAAAATGTGGGGGAGTACGCAACTTCGTCCAAACGCAGAGGGGAAGCCAGCCTGCGGTGTCGCAGTCGGAGAGGCTCATGAGTGGCTGAACCGATGACGTCATGGCTTGTCATATCGTGGGCCCTTGAAGGTCCTTATTCGCAGGAGGACCGTCGAGGAAGTTAGCTGGGCGATAGGAGAATAATATGTTTGGTTCGATTCCATGTAGGCTCAACTCACGCAAGATTCAATCGGCCAAGCTGTTGTTAAGTACTGAGAGCGGTTCTGGTTGGGTTACTACCTTGGCATCCAGTGGCATTCTCCTCATTTCGTGATACCGGAATACATGGTCCTCTTCCCCAGTAAGGGGCCAGAACGTTTCGTGGAGGAGACCAAATAAAGGCCGAGCTTCCAAATTGATCAGTACAGGCCTCTAATGCTGGCGCTGGATTTTGTAGAGATTTGTATGGCTCACATGGCACCTGCACGCGGACAGGTTCAGTGTCTCCTTGATTCTGAACCGCCACCATCACGATTGCGGTCGACGGTGAGGCCCTTTCTCTCGCCTATATGCTGTTCTATATGGTACAGAATGGCCGCAGAACCAAATTGGAAACGTTCAAAAAGCAAAATCGCGTACTGAATATCATGTTATACTCAACGATCGACCGTATATGTCTTTTTTTCTTTCAATCTGGATCCATACAAGTCCTTTCGTTTCGCGGTGCTGATCATTTTTGCTTGACTCTAGGCGTTCTGCAGGCATATAGTTCGCTTCTTCACCCTCTGCAAAAACGAGTCCATCTGTAATGGCCAAGACAACGAATTTGGCACAGTTGCGCCCTTACGGTGGACAACGCTGTCTTTTTTGCGGAAGGTGGTTCGTAAGAGCGTGCTGCCATACCTGGCGTTGCTCGGCATATCTAGCTTGGAAAAAGAAGCGCGTCGAAGCCAACAGGGTGCCCTCAAGCAAGATCTCACTTCACTCTGGCCTCAAGCTTCCTCAAAGTGGCATGGTAGATCAAGGAGGGTCCGAGCAGTTAGAGCCACACGTATCAGGTTCCGGCATGAGTGTTGAAGATTGGGAAACAAGGGAGACAATGGGAACACTCCTCTGGTAAGTGTTACCTTTACCTGTTCCTCCTGTTGTAGAAGCTCACGTTCTCCATCTCTCCAGTCTCCGAGGATTGACAGGCCTCCCTCGTCAGAGAAGGACTCCTCGTAGATTCGGCGATCTCAAGAAATCGGCACATATACCTCTTCTGCCAAAGCTCGCTCCTTCCTCTTCAACTCGTTCGTATCCTCCTCCGTTTGCACAAAAAATAAGACTGGCGCGCTCATGTAATTATAGCACGCACTTACCTATCTGAATTCAATGTATATGTTCTCTTGAGTATTCAGGACGTGATTCAAGGAGGCTGAGACAGAGAGCTGGGCGGGTGGAGGTCTGTGCGCGCTGAGCCCTATGTGCGCGCGCGCGCACCAGGTGTCACCTGACAAATTCTCACAGTTCCTTTCTTCTCGACGTCGACGACGAAGGCCACGCAGACTCTTATCCTGCCTTCTCCTCTGTCTATCAAAGGCAAGTAGCATCAACTATTGCTCTGCTCCATTATTGACCAATGACTCCAGTATATCTCAACTCAGGATATGGACTTTTAGGCCCTTGAGTA